AAAAACTTCTTCACTGTGAGGGTGACAGAGCACTGGAACAGGTTGCCCAGAGAGGTGGTGGAGTCTCCTTCGCTGGAGATATTCAAAACCCGCCTGGATGTGATCCTGGGCAATATGCTCTAGGTGACCCTGCTGGAGCAGGGAGGTTGGACTAGATGATCTCCAGAGGTCCCTTCCAACCTCAACCATTCTACAATTCTGTATAAACAGCAGCTCAAAAACACTGAAGTTGCAGTATATGAAATTTTCCTGTCAGCAAAATTCTTGGACCCTGGTTAATCTTAGAATCAGAGCGCTAGATATTACAGGCTTGATATAGTTTTTCACCTGAGTGACTTGAGTGATTAACTTTCATAGGAGCCACAAATCTTTTCATATTTCCAGTATTAATATTCTTTACAGTCAATAAGTTCAACTTTCAGAATTCTGAATCACTTTATTCACCTTTTCCTAAAGATTATTTCAAATTAGATATTATGGTCCTGTAGTTTGATACCTGCATTAAGGAAGTAGGCAACTCATGTTTTTCCTTTCTCACAATTTTTTATTCAAGGCATACAAGGACTAATTGGATTAAATCTTTAGTTCTTCTCTCCTGACCTTGATTATCGGTCTAAAAAATTATAACCAGTTAATCCTTTGTGTCCCATTAAAATAATTTTTAGCTTGGCTAGTATTGGTCTCTCATCTTGAGACCAGTAGGATATGTTTCCACTGCCCTAATAGGCACTGTGTCCTCTGGGAATTAAATCTTTTCTTCGAATGAAATAAAAAAATATTGTTCAAATTTTGTACAAATTCCTTGCTGCCTTGACTGCTGCAAGAAGAAATCCTCTTCGAAAGTAAAATTTGAGAGAGAGCACCAGCTCTCCTGCTCCATCTTCTCAGCTTTTCAATCTTTTCTGTGAGAGACAGAAATTTGATCTCTACAGTCTATTCTTTCTTTGTCCTTTCTTTGGAGCTGGCCAGCAAACTAGGTCAATTAACATAAATGGCAAAAGTGTCTGGACATCTGGGGAATGACACCAGATTCATTTTACGTAAACTTTCAAGTAACCAGATGGCAAATGATTCAAAGGCCTATCTTCAAGAACCAGCTGTATAGTCCAGTTACCAGACTGGTGCTAAAAGTCAGCTTTTGTAGTAAGAAAATACAGCCAGAAGCTTTGCAAAGGACTTTACATTAAAAAAAAAAAAATCATTACTTTACAGGATATTTATAAAAAGAGCTTATCTGTAAATGAGGTTTAGATTATCAGTGGTTAATTGTATAAAGATGGTACTTTACAAGAACCTGGTTACTACAGTGTATACATCTTATGTATGCAGATTGTATATTCAAAACAGATTAATATTAATTAAATGGTCCATCAAGCTGGAGTGTGCAAAATCAATGGGCACTTGCTGCAGTGTAATAGAGAGAAATCTAAGACAGAGCCAGCTATGGAAGGAAAAGTGTAGACATTATCTACAAACACAAGCCATGGCACCCAAATTCTGATTTGGACTTCCTCATAGATTTACTGTTTAGTTTGAATGGGAATTAGGTTCAGATCACTCTATAGGTGGGGACCAACTTCAGTGGCCTTCATCTACGCTGATCTCTCATATTTTTAGGCTATTTTTTTTCCCCTAGGAAGTTAGGTTAGAAAGAGATCTAAATCTCATGCAAAAGATTTCTGCTGAACATCTACACTAAAGTCAAAGTGGCATTTAACTAAGTGACACCCATTCCTTAGTAAACGGTTATTTCAGCTGTCTTTGCAGAATATACAAATTTAATTAGTAGAGATTTTATGGCATGGCATTGCTCCTAAAGATGGGATTTTGGTCCTCATGGAACTCTTCCGTGGTCATTGTATTAATTATAGTAAAATGTCTTCCAGTCCTGAAACAAAGCAAGATTTTAAATTAAGTATGGAGTATTAACTCCATACTTTATGAAGTCAAAGTATTTTAGTTGTTTCTATTTAATGCCAGTCAGGCCTAGAAATCCTATCTAACAGGCTCATCTTTTTTTCTTCAGAAGACCTACTTGATAGCAGGATGTCAAAACAAAGAGAGGACAAAGCAGAGCTCATAAATCAGGTCCTTCGCAGCATCAGCTCTTTTCATTCTACAGTCAGCTTGCTGCAAGCATAGCACTGTGGCATAAACAGAAACCAGAGCATACCTAGTTCATATATTGAAATATCTACATGAAATAGAAGAAAGAGATTAATTAGATATATATAATGTGTATTTTTAGTTTCTTTTCTTCCATTGGCTCTTTCCAACCAGGACTGCCAGAAAGTGGCTGGAAGCTTTAGTGGACTGCAAGGACGCAGACACCTCAGGGAGAAAGTTTTCTCTTTCAGCTCCTTAATCCAAATTCAGAACTTGTCTCTTTGAGTGAATGACTACCACAGGAGCATTAGGCAGAAGGGAAAAGAAACCTTCTCTTAAAACATTATAAGCAATAAAATGAATGATATTTGGTTTCTATAGCTTGTTCCAGCAATAAAATGAATGATATCTGGTTTCTATAGCTTGTTCCTCACTTTTGCCTTGCTTGTCTAGAATGGTGAAAGCTCATTGGCAGATTCTATAAGGGCCAGCTTGTTTGTATATCATCCCTCTGCTGTTGATTACCCAGTGTCTAAAAGGGGATGAGCTCACCCAACACCTTTTCCTGAGGACACTTATGGTATCTCTCTCCTCTATCCAGTCACCTATTTTCACAGAATGTAATTTTCTTAAAGCACCCAGTGCTTTCAAAGTACTGGCTCATCAATGCAGTTTCCCAAAGACCAAATCTAGTGAGAAATGCTACTCAGCTAATTTCAATTCATTGCTTTGGTCACTAACATAACACCAATAACAAAAAAGAGAGATTTGGTCAAGAATCTCAACTTAATAAGATAATTTCCTTACAGAGGTGTCAGGGGAGGATTTATGGAGGTGCATCCACGTAGAGGAAACAATTAAGTAGTAGCAGATCCTAGACAAATGAAAAAAAAAATTGAGTCACCTCATTTAATCAGCTGCACTATACGTGACAAGCAGTTCTCTATCATTCCCATAAAAGCCTGATCTACCTGGAATATCCAACATTCTAAGGTGCAGTCATTGTCTTTTGGAAATCTATTTCTTTCTTGATTTGTCATCTAAAGCATCTTTTCTTCCTTGTAGGACTGATATAGACTCCCACGACTATTCATTCAGATGTTTTCTAAGCTCAAATATTTTGATGTCAGTTTTGTTCCGTGAACAGACTAAATATCAAAACATTTTGAGAAATAAAGTTTGAAATGTTTTGAAGTAGCTTAAAAGGTCTCTTTCTCCCCAAACCACAACAAGACATTTCAGCATTTTGATATTGATGTATTTCATTTTCCTGCATTAAACAGAAAGGAAAAAAGTTTATCCAAGGCCATGTGACATTGCCCACAAAGTGCCTTGTGGAACCTGTCGTTCTAGAGGTTCTAAGGGTTAGGCAACATTTCCTGCCATGGCAATATGGCTATGATGCATCATGATGAGAGACATATAGGAGATAAGAAACTGAGACCACAGAGGAGAGGAGGAGCACAAAACGTTTGTACAAACTTATGAAGCGTCGTAACACTCAAATCAAACAAAATGTTTTAGTTCAGTTAGAAAGATTTTCATTTAGATCAAATATGCTCAATATAGTATTTCATTTCGGCTTTCTTAGAAAGAACGTGAAATAGTGTTGTCTGAAAGGTTATAATCAGAGATTCCTTTTTTCTAGGAATACCACTTTGGTTATTCCTCTCCTATGCACAGAAAAACAGGCCTGAGAATGAGGCTTTCCATTTCACGGTCCCTGCATCCACACTGCTGGAAGGAAGTTTCCTGTAACAGATTTGCCTACGAATCCTGTTTTACCTTGCTGCACATGACAGCAAGCCCTTTTGGGATGGAAGCAAGACAACTTTTCTGTTTATCTGTCATTCAATATCTTTGTAAAGTATTATGTAATAATGTGTGTGATGAGCAGACAAGATCATGTCTATCCTATCCTCATGGGAGGATAAAGAAGAAAAGCGTAAAAGAAGAATGAGCTCAAACTTTTTCCCTGAAAACTCACCTAAAGCCTGCACCTGAATACAGGCTGGTGTCAAAATACTGTGGACGTGAAGCTCATTTTGACTAAGCTGCGTACTCAGGTCCACATTAAAAATGCAATATAGATCTGCCCTTAGGGTACAGGCTGAGCAGACTGTGGAGCTTCCAGAGGCCAATAGCAGTTGTGGCTGAGCCAGTAAAAGGCAACAGTGGAAATTATTAATTAGAGTAGTCTGACAAACCAAAGTTTTGGGTAGAATTATAAGACCTTACCCCCAGTTCAGCAACATTTTTAATGTCTGTGGCATATAACTGAAGCATGCAATTTCTGACCATTTTCATTATTTAGAGATATGCTCAGAGTATCTGTTTAACACAACTGTAATTTCAAGCACATCTTCAGTTGACAGTAGAGTAGGAAGGCCAGCCCAGAGTTTAACAGCTTAGCACCTTTAATGATTTTATCTCCAAGACAGACCGCAGTCGTACGATAGGGAGGCGTGAGGAGAATGGAAAGTGCTGCTGTGAAAGAAGGTACATGCAGAAACCCCCGAGGGGAGGTGAACCCTGGGACAGAAAAACTTTTTTCACTGGGAAAAGAGAAGTGAAGAGAATACACAGAGAGATGGGAAAGTTTTGAATGGTACAAAACGCCTGGGAAGCCTGAGTTAGGAGTGCTACAAAGGGAGGGAGACTCTAGCATCTCTCTTTTTTTCTCAGTCACATCTGGAAAATTAATGACATGAACAAATAAAGAGTGAACGTAAGCAAGAGCGCTTTGCTAGAACTGTCAAAAATTGCCAAGAAACAGAGGACTATAAATCATAGTTAAGTCATGCTCCCCATGCAAGCCAAACAGCTCTCATCAGACGGCTGCAGCATTGGGTCTGGGACACGTTTCCCTCAACTAACATGCCAGCTTGCTTTTCTTCCTTCAGTTCTAGAAAGAAGCTATTTCAGAGTTATTTCTCCTCACAAAATACTAAATTAAAGATCCTTTCAGTTCCTAGGGATAAAAATGAGATATAATCCTCAGGATATGAAGCTGAAACATGACCCTCTATGGAATATTAAAATTGTTGGACAAGTGTAATCTTGCCTCCTAAAGAAAGTGATCTTTTACTGAGCTTCCTGAACCGACAGACTGTCACATAGGCTTGTAAATGATTGATGTTTCATCGTGCTGGCAGACTATGGTGTTGGTGGAAATTCAAAGGTTAATCATAGCATGGTAAAAGAATAACTCTATTATATTGATTGCACAGTGTTTGGGGAAATTGATAATGATCTACTACTTTGCATATTCAATTACTTGTTATTTTAATTATCAAATTATTTTTGATAGCAGAATCTTTAATGAAATAACTAATCCTGAAACTAGCATTGTCTTATTATGCAGGAGAGGCTGTAAGTACACAGAATTCAGAGTTCTCTGTGGCCTGCTTCTGCATTTCTGTATTGGATTCTATGGGAGAAGTCTATAAATAGGGAAAAAAAACCTATCTGAAAAAACGAGGATGTTGACAGCAATGTACAGTTTCATGTTTTTAATGAAACTGATTTCTGGTGCCCTTCAATTTTACCATGCTTTTTACTGTACTTGGCATTTGCATAACATTTTCCAACTTCAAATCACAGGCTGCTTCAGAAAGTTTATTACTAGAATCATATTTTCTTTTAAAGCAGAAAATATTAATTTAAGAAACCTTAACTTTTATGAGGTTTTATTAGTTTGGACAACATTGTATTGGAAAAAAACATTTAAAAATATGTCAGAATGACTCATTTAAAGAGTTTATTTTTTGTTTGTTTCGAAAAGGCTATGTGGAAAGTTACTTATTATTTATTAACAATATGGAAAAAAGTTAAAATTGAAAGGCGTATCGTAGAAAAATGAATACTTCCTTAAGCCTTTAAACATTTCCTGGAGTGACAGTCCTACATTATAACCTTCTTTTGTTCATCATATGTATATGCAGACAATGGAAAAATGACGATATTTTGGCTAAAGTTAACAGTTAAGCTCATCAAAAGTTAAGAGTTAAACTCATCCAAATTTGGAATGTTCCTTTCCTTGGACATTCTAACAACTCAAGATTTCCTAGGTTTAAATAAAATTTCAAATTTTGCCACAGAAGAAAACATCACGAAAAAGAAAAGGAAATTCAGCTCAGGTATCCCGAAGTAAACTTACAGAAGAGTTATCATCTAACATTAAAATCATAAGGATTAAACTGAAGTACTGTAGCCTTATTGAACAATTCCAGTTTGTTCCTAAAGATTGCTATACCACTTATATCAGAAAATCGTATGTTCTTGGTTATTTATTGAAATCTCTTAGCAGGCAACATATTTAACAACCAAAGAAATGTATTCAACAAAGAAAAGGCCAGAGGTATCAATGTTTCACTAACATAACATCAAGAGTTTAGCTGAAGCCTAACGTAAATGTTAGCAGCAGTTTGTCCCTTTGATGGATTCCAAAGCTGAGCTTTGGAATAACCCAGGTTCCTCACTGCTTGACCCAAACAAAAGTAAATGTTAAAACACTCAGCTGAAAATTTCTGTAGGAAAAGTTTCAGCTAGCTCTGGTCGGCAGCCAAAATGTTGACAACTGAAATCCGTTCTGAGGTAGTTTACAATGACACTGAGCACACACAAAACTCTTAGATTTCCTTGGAAGTTTGTTCTGTTCTCAGAAATTCCAACTCTCCTCAGGTAAAATATAGCTTACTAATCTCTTCCTGAACCATTTTCAAAGTGTTCATGATACCCTATTATTTTAAGGAATAATTCCTCTCCCCTAAAAGATGAGAAGATTCAGGTGTTGGCCTTTAGGGGCTCTTGAAAACTTACTATTATACTCAGGAAAAATATCCATAATCTTGCATACGGAGAAAATGCAGCATTTTTTGTCAGTGTATATGTAATTCATTCAATTTAGTTACTGCTAATCTTTTTTCTTTACTTTTTTAAAACTGATCTGATGTGTCATATTTACGTACATTTGAAAAGAAGCAAATTTTCTGGTCATACAAAAAAGATTAGCTATATAGTATGGTCCTTAAGGGTTGCAATCTACTTTTAAATCTTACAAAGCAATAGTTTATAACTATGCTAAGTGATGTTTTCATATAATTGCTAATAAGAACATTAGCACTGTTCCTGCACTAAAGTATTGCCTATTATTTAAAAGATAACTTTACATTAACGTGCGAGCAGATCAACAGCGGTGATTTCAGAAAGTTTTCACTATGTGTATAGTTTTAAAAAAAGAATCAGACTAAGTAAAGTTCGTTTTATAACAGTGTCCTTGTGCATAGGCTTATCCTTCTCCAGCTTTTTTAATCACCCTCTCCCCACAGACTCTCAACAAGGAAATGAAAGTAAGCCAGTCAGTTTCAAGGAAATGTTATCTTTTAGGGTCTTTGCAGCAAAAACTGCAGGGAACAGCTCTTAAAAAAATTAAAAAGAAAATAACGAAGAAAAGGCTTTCTATTAAACAAAGAGCAACCCGGAGCTGAACTAGAGATTGGCTGGATTGCCACGTGATTAAGGGCTTGGGTTTACAATTACAAAACCGAGAATTAATTCCTGTGTTTACCAATTGACTTCATCTTTTTCTGCTATAACTCTGTGTTTGTCAGATGAAAGGAAAACACTTTGCTACCTAAGCGGTTCATATGTTGGGAAGGGACTTTTTCTCACTATGCTTTTGTACTGTTGCTACACAACAGCATCCTGGCGTGACTGGAGACTAGGCACTATGGTAGCACACAGTAAAACCCCCACAGCAATATTTATGCAGGCTTTAAGATTTCAAAAAGAACTATTTTGTGGTAGCTAGGGAGAAAGAGTACTTGACAACAAAATGAAAGTTAAACGGCTGTGCAAACATGGGAGATTACCTTTAAGGTCACCAGGTGAGAATTTTTGCAACCAAAGCATAGATACTTCATGGGTTTTGGAGCCACCAAAACGACGATTATCTTGATTACTTCTTGTTGTCACTTCGGATTTAGATGTGCACCTCCTAGTCATACAAAAAGGAAAAGATAACTGTGTAGAAGAGTGCAGAAAAGCTGGAAACGACTTCAAATGTTACAAGGCAGCAATGAATATTTTCTATTTTGTTTCTACGCCAATGCTTGTGGATTTCAGAAGGGAGGAGCCAGGATGAAACATCCCATGGTTACTGACCTCCTGAGAATGGGTGATGCATGCTGTTTCCCAGTTCTGTGGGAATTCATCAATCCCCTTCTCCACCAGTTGAAAATCATTATGCAGATCCTATTTTTAGTTGATATGGTATTTGTTTTTGTATCTTTTCCTGTGTTTCTCCCTTCCCACCAGATTCAGGGCAGGCACTGTGGGAAATTATACTGTTGTGTGATACATATTAATATGCTTCTGTATGTGAAGCAGATACAAAATCTTCTGGATTGAAAGGCTAGGATGGTTTCCTATGGACAAGGCTATTGAATTTCTCTGAATAAATGATCACTTTAAAACATGTAGATCTCTTTAAAAGGGTTTGGATTTATTAAAAAAATATTAAATATGAGAGCGAATCCACAACATTCATTGGTTTGTTGTTTACCCTCACTGTTTGAACAACAGCAAAGAAATCATAAAGCAAAGCTGACCCTGTGCATTCAACTTCCACACTGAATCTGTTGAGCATGAGCTACTGGCTACTAGTCACGTCCTCATCTGTAACACTGAAAACCCCTAATTTATCAATTTCTGATCATGATCTATAGTTGGAAAGCAAGTCAGCCCTTAGCCTTTTCTCTGCTACGCTGAAATGAATGGCACCCAGAAATTTTATAGTAAATGACTGATTAAAGGATTGGAAGTAGTCTCAAGACTCTTCTCTAAACTCCTGACATTTGATGAGGAAAAGGATACAGTCCTGCGGCATGTGCATGGCCTTTGGGTGAGTGTCTGATCTTCACAGCTCCCATCTGCTGTCCTCAATCCTCAAAACAAAACGGAGAGGCAAAATCTGCCAAAGTCCCTTTGACTGCAAGCACAGGCTCTGCAGCTACACTCTTCAAATGTCTCTTTTGCTGCTCCTGGTCACCTGCCTTTCTTCAGGAGAGCCATCGGGCATAGGTCCCTGCAGGGAAAGATGCACTTTTGTGTGTCTTCTCCCAGAGGAGCTGCTGCAGCAAGTCACTTGCAGAGATAAGCACTAGTAACACAGTGAAGGAGGGTCAGCTGACTTTTCCTGATCAATTGCATGCACCTTGTAGCAGATATAGGTAGGCTATACTGAACTACAGAATACAGAACAAAAACAGTTGGAAGAAGTTATTCAGCTAATTTTTTTTAGCTATGCAGGTAGACCACTCAGAGCTTGCACTGTTATTTATAGCTTCCCATATCCTCTCACTCTCCTCCACTTTTTTAGCTAACAAATCATAGATATTATATGATAAGTACTTCAGAAATGTAAATTCAAAGAACTGTTACAATAGACAGCAAATATTTACCATTTCCATGGAAAATAATTATACTCTCTGCCTTACTCGGTCATTTTAAATCAGTTTCAGGCCTGACTGGCTAGGCAACCAAGAAAATTATATTCCAGATGTATCTAACTGAAGTCAAGCAACCACTCTTTCTTAATCTGCAAAGCCATAAAGAACATGAGATGCAACATTGACTGTAGTTAAGTCAGTGATAATTTTAAGGCTAAATATGCTCCTCTCTTTTACATTTACATGTCTTCCCTCCAGATGGGTCTTAAAAGCTCATTTGCTTTCGTATCATTTGCTAACTGAATACTGGTGTAACTGAGAACGAGTTAAAAATCGGATCCATCAAAGGCATTTTAATACTCTCATTCTTATCAAGGAATCTTCAATGATCACAAATCATTAGGTTTTCAGTTCTAAGTCCTGGCTGGACAGGACAGCCCCTCCAGCAGCAGCCTCATGTGCTGAGTCAAATCCTGTTCACATTAAAATCAGGAGGAGTTTGTCATTAACTTCTAAAGAGAAATGGCAAAATCCTTTCCACTAAAGTCTGACAAGAATCGAAGGAAGACCTGGCACAGTTACACATCAGAAGACCTCTGGCATTGCCTCTGAACCTTGGAAGAAACCAGATTACATGCAGATGTTTAAGTAAGTCCTCCACTAATGATGAAAAGTTATTTTAAGTACATTTCTGAGGGACCATCTAAAGATTGCGTAACTCTCATATACTCTGTCATGCAAATGTTTTCCAAAACTACATGATTAAATGCTATTAAACTAGCTGTTTTATGGGCCTTTGTTGATGCCAGTTATCAAAAGGGCACTTATGTACTCTACGAAGAAAGTTTATAAGTTTAAAAACTTATGGTGAATTGCTCCAGACACCATCCAGAGATCAAGATGTTGATGAGTATATTTACTCTGCCTAGGTCTTTCAGAAAGAATTAGAAAGCAGCTTGATCCCAAAATTCCCTTGAAGCAGGTATAGAACTTTAAGGAAGTTTATCTCTGGCTTCAGATCTAGAATTTGGATTTTATATCAAGTCTGTCTCTATTAATAACAGGCTAGAATCATGCAGTCATTAACAAAATAGGAGGTAATTACACGACTTCCACACTAGCCTTAACAGGTAAATGAAAAGTTAATCGCATATGCACTCTAACAGTCTTCGTGGGAGGGTAAACTGAACAAGTATGTCAAAAGAGTTAAAATAAATAATTTTTTGTGATCTAAGCCCTATGTTAACTTTTGTACTGCGAGGAGCTCTCATACTCATCACAAGAAGAATTTTTAATACTCAGTTTAAAGAAGATAATTTCCAGGATTTTCTACCAATTCTAGTGCTGGAAAAAATCTGGACAAATTTTTGTAATCCTTAAAGTGCAGCTTTTCAGGGCATTCAAGCCATGCAGAAAATATTGTGAGGTCATCACAAGGGAAGGCTCCGTGTGGGAGAAGGAAAAACAAGCAGTATTTTAATCACAAAATGTGGAGTTGTATTATACAGAGACATATATCCTCAGATGCATTAGTAAAATTGAATTTTTCCGCTCTAAGGATGGAAGAGCCAGAGCTACCATGGGAAAGGGCAGAATCAGCATGGAAAGCTGCTAAAGGTACAATGTCAGCTGCTTTTGCTGCTGTCAGAGTGGTGAAATGGGCACTCTGGTTGGGTTGGTCTGCCTGCACTCACCTTCGTCCTCATGCAGTAGCTTGGCTCTCAGCATGGGCCTTCCTGGTTTTGCCACAGGCAAAGCAAGCAGCAGGGTCAGAGCCATTTGCAAGCTTTCAGCAATCTGTTGTCCGAGGCAGATTTCAACTTTACCACTGCCCATAGCTGGCGATAGTATTTAATCATCAGGATGTCCCTGTGGCAAGCAAGTTACTACTCCTAGCATCTATGCCTTGGATCACCTTTTGGATCTGTGAAGGAATATTCTTGCAATTACTGCATACATGAGCACAACAGAAAAGTACAAACACACATACCTGATGTAGAAAGATCCTCAATTTACTTCCTAACAAAAGACTTATTTCAAGTATTTAGGGCAGATATTCAGTTGCTATAAATTGCTACACAGTACGGACACTCAGGATTCATTTGAAATTCACAGATCTATGGCAATTTTCATTTTCAAACATATCACATGTAGTAGAGCACTACTGGTGCCATTGGTAGCAGCAAGCACAGTATGACTATAATAGCTAGGAAAATAAATACATTTTAGCCAATTTTAGGGCTTTTCTAATTTCCACATTTATTATCAAATTCAGTTTCCCTGGGTTCACTCATTCATAACTATATTGCATTTCTAAAATGGCTTCACATGGTTCTTTGTTGTCAAAAATGTTTCCAGAACCACAGATGTCATGAACAGTGGTGGAAATGCAGTTGTGCAAAGTTCAGCAATTAAAGTATCTGGGCAGCTAACCTGCTCACTTTGAAAATATATGAGTTCATCCTGCTTACTCAGCTATCTTTAATGCTAATCAGATTTCCTTTCCCTTATTAAGTTTAGGCAAACCAGAGACCAGAAGTAATCCCATCTGGCATGACTTGACAAAGCCCGTGTTACGGATGGTAAAGAACAAACAATTGAAGTAGGGGAAGAATTCATGGGTGGACATGCATGCTGCTTATGTCTTCAGGCAAAGATTTCTAAGACTTAAAGAGATTCTGGGAACAGTTTTTAAACTGAAAAAATGCAAATTCAGAAGATTATTTATGGCGCTTGTCTCAATGGGATTTATTTACCACAGCAGCTTGAAAATGTTTTATCATTTCTACCATTTTTAATAAAAATATATTATTGATATTTTTAAAATAGAATCAAATAAGAAGACATTGAGCCTGTGAAACTTGGTCTTCTATTCTTGTTGGCTTAAAACATTTCAATCTCTGCAACAGTAATAGTTATTAATTAACAACACTAATTTTCTAGACTTGTTCAGACTACGTTGTTGATTAAACATCCTCAGGATCCAGTAAGAATAAAAAATGAACTTGTTACGACCTGTCAGTTACACAGACATGACTTTCAGGTAGCAGAAAAGACTTTGAGCTACAAATACATACTGTACTCCTACAAAACATGAACCACACGGCGAATCACCTCTGCTTGAGAAAAAGAGAAACAGTAGAATTAGATGCAACTAGTCATATACATATGAAAGAAACTGATTTTTCATTGTTTAAATTAAAACTTCTTAATAAACCAGAGGAAAAGCAGAGCTATTGCAAGCTGGTCAACACGCATTTCTTCATAAACCTCTGTACCCACACATTTATACAAATATGATCATCATTTGTTTTTCCACAGGCGTCGCTGTTTCCCTACTTTGTTCTAGTTAATTCATACATGAGTTTGCTAAGGTAAATACATAGTCAGAAAGGAAACAAACAATAGAGGAGACAAATAAAGGCTGTCCAATTAAATAGGGTGTCTACTGCTTCCCTTTATATAACACTCTCAGAAAATGTTTTCTGAAAACTATTTGTTGCAGATATCAACTCCTGCTAACACACACATAGCTAATTCTGCTCTTGAAACACTTCAGTGTGAATATTTTAACCCATTTACACCTCGTACATCTGTATAGATCCATTCATATCGGTTGGAAATAGCAGAGATCCAAGTACACATCTTTGCAGAACTCCGGAAAATACTCTTGCTGGGATAAAGGACCTTTCCTTTTTTGGGCTAACCACTCCTTAAACTAAGGCTATCTTTCTTTCTTTTGGGTGCTCTTCCTGCACTGTATGCGTTAAGACAGAGAAGCCTGTAAGAGATCATTTATAAAACCTGCAAACTCAGATGTGCTAGGCCACAGAATGTTCTTTTGAGTCATTACCTTTGCACCGTACTTAGAAATAAAACTTAATCTCTTTCTTGTCTGGTTCATACTATTTACTACCTAAAAGGTGCAGTAATTTGTTGGTTTATAATACAGCACACATCAAGGGCTCCATTGTGTTAGGAAATGTGCAGACAAGGACAAAAAGAAAATCCTTGCTCTAGCAACCTTGCTGTTCTGAGCATTATGTACGCTAAGTTGCAAAAGGCAAATGGCATAGATTGGTAAGGCATTTGCTATATCTTCCCTTGCATTGATCCTTATGTAAAATGAGCAATACTCTCAGTTCATCAGCGGCCAAGCCATAATCATGTAGCAGGGAGTCACAATAGAAGTAAGTCTTGCAGTAGATTTGAAGGAGGCTGTAGGAATTTCTGTGAATAGTACAGAAAATGCAGGATTAAATTTGCAGGAATTGTGTGCAATGATGACAAACTTTTGATGATAAAAGTGGTTCCTTCTAGTCCCATGGCCCTTCAAATGACAAAGGCTCACATAGTGACAGGGACTGCACAAGCAAGCAGGGGACTCCAGCTGGTGCAGCCCATGGAAGAGAGGTTTGCTCTGGGGAGCTCCTCAAGAGTTAATGAACCCCGGGTGCACCAGGGGGGGAGCTACCACACTGTGGAGCTGCTGTAGCTTGGGGGCAGACCTTCCAACAACCCCATGATTGGCAAGACCAGACAAAGGAGAAGTGACACTGCAAACCTGCACCATAAACATCTCAGTGCTGTGGAGCCATTCCCCGCAGCGCTACCCCGTTAATGGATGGGTGCATTGTTGCCAATGGAGCAGCGCTGTGGGCTGAGCATGAGCTTAGCTGGTGATGTGCGCACCGTTTTTGCCTAGAGCCATACAGCTTTGGTATAACTGTGGGCTGGCATTGTTCTAACTGGCTATTAAAGAGAGTAAGCCACATAGGTTTGGTGTGGACTTGGACCCTCGGTCAGCTGGCCTGTGGACCCCAGGACCCACCTGTCAGCAGGGACACCACTGATGTCAACAGCGTGATGAGGAGAAGCTGGGGAAAATTATACTGGAAGGGTGGCCCGTAAAGGGCGAGAGTGGTCGCTGTATTGTGCACCTGTTTATTTAACTATAGAGCTCTGATAGTATATATATTTTCAGTTCTGTTACGTTTCTAGCTTTACTATACTTCAAATTTTGTTATAACCTCTTTAATAAGTTCTCCTACTGGACAAATGATGATCTCTCGAGTTCAGTACAACTAACCCCAGAATCCGAAAGAATCATGGACATCCCTCTATTGGCGTGTCACACATAGCTGAAGGACCAGGCGGTGAACATTCCTAAAGATCTAAGATTGTTCAGCCTTAGATAGCCTATAAGCTCAAATAGTTAAATCAGTGGTACAGAAGGAGAGAGATGGCTGCCAGCTTGTGTAGCTGCTTGCGACTCCACAGCCCAAGGAACAGGTTTTCCCTTTATGCTTGGATCGATTAGGAGTGCTGTGGAAAGCTCAAGCTGCTCTCTGTAGAGCCATACAGAGAGAATACATACATTGAGTCTCGATCCCCACATCTTGACAGGGTCAATGGCACGATAAAATGTAGTGACAGCTTTTCTATCTCATCTCCCCTTCCATTAAGCTATTTGCCTTCTAGAAAACATTCATGCAGGAACACTTAGTCCTTGCTGCCTGGTGCTTTTGCCACTGCAAGCATAAATCAGAGGCAGCTGTTACACTGGGACCTCACACTTTAGGGCATACCCAGCCCAACCAGGACAACATAGCAGGTGGCCTCCAGGACATCCCTCCAGCTGTGTGCAGGGCTCTGCAGGGCTCTCCCTGCCCCTCCCTCTGCCCTCTTACTGCTACCACATGAGAGAACTGTACCTGCTTAGCTGTATTGCCTTGGAGGAGTTTCTTTTTTGGTACTGTGGGGCAGGACACAGAGCATGATGATGCAGAGGGTGGGAAGTGGCGCACAAGCATCACAGGACAGGGCCATGCAGGAAGCCAAAGCGAGGGCAAGGGTGCATGCCAGCATGTAAGCAGGCAACCAAGAGTAGACTCCAAACCCCACTTTCAAGTAACATAAGAAAATGGTTTGAGTACATTCAAAGGAGAAAAGAATTAAACTGAATGCCTTGCTTTTTGCTGAATGCATCGGTAATGCTTTCTCCTGAGGTGACGGGGGCCTACTTAATCGACAGCCAGAGGCATGAGTTAATTTTCCACCTTTCAACAGAAAACTTAGAAATTGCTATTAAAACAAGCAAAGCCTAACATTTTCTTAAGGTCTCTATGAAAAGCCTGCCTAACATAGGCTGTATCATGCCTTCACAGTAACTTCACATTGACACCTTCTGTTCATACACTGTAAGTACAGACAGGCCTGGTACCACCTGCGTTACTTGTATGTATACAAAGTTAATGTACAGCACAACTGGTTCTTCTGGAAAGTGCTGGGAATCACCATGCATACACTGCTCTTTTGCAGTGGACTTGCTCAGGATTTAGGGACATACACTACATTGGCTGGAAGACCTGAAGGAATTACTCTGACTAGGTTGCTGCATATTGTGAAATCTGGGAGAAATGTAAGAAAAACTCAAAATCCTCCTGGAAAAAGTTTTCAGGTAGGAGGAGAATGTGGTTGGGATAATCCAAATATCCCGTTGATGTATTCTAGAAAAAGAGAACCTTTCTTCCCATACAGAGGATCATTCAGCCTGCCCAATGGGAAAAGGAGAGAGCGAATGATTTCTAATTCTAGTTTCATTTGCTTTTCCTGATCCCACCAATCACTTCTCTACCATTTCTGCCCGGGATCCACTTGCCCCAGCCCTAATGTCTTTGTTTTCCCACATCTGTTTTTATTCTCGCTCCTGACCTACATAAGGCTCTCCCCGTACTTCATGCAGCATCTCTGTCCCCTCCCTGTGGTCATCCGTACACACCATTTATTTTCTTTTCTGAAAACAGTCTGAACATTTTCTGAATCTTCCACTGTACACAGACTACACCTCCTTTTCTGCTTCCTGACTTCCCCTTCTAAACTCCCCAAATAGCTTTTCCCACAGAGCATAAGAAGCTTTATATTTTCCCTCTTTCCTCCAAAGATTATGACTCCAAAAGCCAGTAGCCTAGGGTGGTTTCAGGGTCATTCCACTTTCCTGTGGAACAAGCTAACCGTCTTACATAAAAATTGGCAGGAAAAAGGTCTTTTGGCATCTCCGCCTCGTGTTACAGTCTTGGTCCGCAAGTTAGACTCACAGTTCCATGCTTTGAGAACTTCCTTCTTTGCCTCTCTCTCTCTCTCTCTCTCTCTCTTTCTCTTTTTTTTTTTTATACCATTTTTAATGTTACTCTCTTTATAGTATAGAAAATGACAAGCATTAGCTGGGGCAAACCTCAGCCATTTGGAAGTAAAATCAAAAACATATTTTTATTTCTTTGAGTTTCTGGAAAACTGTATCAAACTTTAGGCAAAGCTATTTTTGGCAGAGAGCTTTATCCCAGGAAGCTTGCGCTGAAGCTGTGACACGTACGCCTTGTGGTCCCAGGAGGCACCACATTCGCTCCGTGTGCAGCCGGCCGTAGACCATTTTCAGAGCTCTGACCTTTCCACAGAGCTCTACCAGAACTAGCATTTTGCCCTAAGATGAGTTTTGATACCAAGGCTGGAACTAAAGAAGGAAGAACCTTAAAGGTAAAGAGAAGAAGTTTATATCGAAATGTGGAAGGTACACGCCAATATTTTAACTGACTAGTAAAAGCTGGATAGATTTTAGCGACAGGAAAAGAAGTAGGGGTCCCAGTCTAGAGCTTAATTTCTGAAGACAAGTGTATAAAATAAACAGAACAAAAGGATGCTGGTATGTGAATCGGGCATGTGAGTGTCAGATCAATCATTCCTGGAAAAAAGTTTCCGCTTTCTTCACCTAATTTCTTTTAGGTTTGACCCTTGCTCTGTCTTTCACAGACCATACCTATTAGGACTGACCAGGTTGTCATCTCTCTGATGTAGAGTTTGAGATTACATTGCAATATTGTGTGTTCAAGTTCAGCAGTCAAGCTATGCTAAAATCGACAGACTCCATACCAAAAGAGAGACGAGCAGTTCACTGCAGAGCTGTTACTTAGGGTCAGTTTCTTCACATAAAGGTCTCATATTCAAAAAGATTACCTGCAACATGCAGAGGAAATGATTATCTGAAATGTTTTCTGCAAGCCAAATTTATTGTAAAAGTTTGTGCCTGCATGTATGTTTGTTTTTGGTATCGTAGCTGTAGTAAATACTGTGAAGTTAAATCACCATAAAGGAGGGAAATTTCTTGGTTAATAAGCGTTGTACATGAATCTTCTACCAACGTAGTATGTCAGCTGGCTAACTGGAAGCCCAAAGGAAGAAAATAGCTCATTTAACCTCAAATAAAACCAAAAGCAGCCTGAAAAGATTTGCACTAAGTAAAAAAAATACAACACACACATGAAAAGCAGAAATCCTATTTCCTGTTTGAAAATTGTATGTAATATTGCTGAACTTAAAATCAGACATCTGGTTAGACAGATTACTTAGCACCTTGGCACAGATGTTCTATATTTTTTATTATAGCGTTTTAATTAAAGAACATTCATCAGTACTCACTCAGCGCAGTTAAGTGCCACTTTCAATGAAGCTACACCCGGAATGAATTTTGTGTGCCATTTTTAATAGCAACATTTAAATCAGATGGTGATGGTGAATGATTGTCACGAAGCCAGTTACAACCTTTTCGTCACTACTGGGTGGAGAAAGAGACAGGGAGGGAACTTGCACCGTCACATCTGTGCAGCAGATGCAGACACACCTTCCACCCACCTGCTATTCCCCCTGTCTCTAGAGGGACAAGAGTAAATGCTGAATAAACCAGCCGGGGCCTCCTCAGCGCCTGCATACTTGGCCTCCGTTCCCAGCACCAGCCATGCCCCACTGCCTCATCCCCGCTGTTTGTATGCTGTGTTCCCGCTGGCTCCTCAGCAACAAGTGTGCTGCACCAGCAAGTGGTTTTTAAAGTGAAAGTGGAGGTTAGAGAAAAGGGAAGGTGACACAACATTTATGTTTAGCTAAGCAAGATAAGCAGGAGGAATTTCGGATAGATTCCAGGAAGACTATCATATGCGATCCAGAGATGGTGTGGAATAGTCCTTCCACAATATGTGCCAAGCAGCCCAAAAAATAAATGCTTAAACATGATGAATAAAGGATAAAAGTTTCAAAGTTTAATTCTACATCCCTGCAAAGTATTTCTGACAATTCACTGTATTCATCTCTCAAACTTTTCAAGCAAGCCTCTTGCAGGTGCAGCACGCCTTCTACCCTGGGCTCAGACTGGCAGAAACTTGCAGAAATGACTAGCACTTACCTCAGAAATCAGCTGGCTGGGTTTGATTTGTAGAGAACTTATAATTTGCCTCGTATCTCTTTTTAAACCCATCGCATCCACAACAATGGAAGCTGTCAGCCAAAGCGATTTTGTCAGCCAAATCTGAGACACTGTTCATTTTATGACCACTAAAATTTCCTCTAACTTCTCACTTGAATTCTTCCATGTCTAGGAAGGTGACACAACATTTATGTTTAGCTACACATTTTTTAAACACATTTTTTGTTTGTCAAATTCCAAAATATGCATCAACAGTGATAAGAACTTGTCAGCAGAATGGGAAAAGAACTGTGATATATTCCCTGTTTTTCTCTATTGTTTTAGTCTAATGGATGTTTAATACAAAATGCATAAACACTCTAGGTCATTATGTTACAGTCATACCCTCTCTTATGCACTCCCTTTTTTGACCCTATGGGTCTTACTTTCCTTTCCATGCAGAAGCAGTTCTTCAGCAGTAGAAGGAGAAATTTGAGCTTACTTTGGTTGTGGTGGCTACAGTAACTTCTCTAGAAGGTGCACAGTGCACACTTGCTTCAGGCTGAGGGGGCACTAAACCTCACAGCCCCCTGAGACGTAGGTCTGACCTTCAGTGAAAGCTGCCCGACTGGCTCTAGGCGGATGGAGTAAGCTCACGGCAGCCTGAAGTTGGCGCATTGCCTTTAGGTGCTGATACCTATTGCAGGCATGCTTCTACTTTCAAAGAGCTCCTGTGCAGTGCTCAGTCTGCGGACAGTGGCTCACTCTGCTGAGCAGGGAGAGCATCCAGTTAACAGGTATTTGAGGTCCACCTTGCATGCAGGACAGGCTGCTCAGTGATTCCTTGTATTAAATCCATAGTTTGCAATTCCATCCTAAAGTCGTCCTTAGTGGGACACTTCATTTTATGTTTTTAAACATAACAGTCAGTACTGAACCATTAAGGACAGCAACTTCTCCTTTTCCTCTGAACTAGGTGAGGCAAATAGCAGAGGCACAGCCGAGTAGCACAGTGTTCGCCAGTTATTCTACTGGGGCACTCGAGGGTAACTCAGTGGAGCTTCAGGACAATATACACAGTAATCATGCTTATGATTGTTTCTAAAACAGTTTTGTGAATCTTTCTTTCTGCATATATCCTTTCTCTTTAGTCTTCTGAAGGTTTTTTTTCTTTCTTATTTTATGTGTGTACAAAACACAGTATCAGAATTCTGATTATACACTTAGATTCCTGTTATATGCTGGTATAACAGAAAAACAATTGAACAGTTACAATGGCTTAGTCTTTGTACAGGCTTGGAAGATGTTAAGAAATCTGGGAGACTTCCTGTTTTGGTATCTGTTTCTCATAATTTTATCCTGCCATCTAAAAAAATATTTTCTGGATGAAAGGAGAAACTTCACATGCCCTGCTTCGCATGCTGCTACTTTACCTTTTATAACAACAGGAATCAACAAGTTGGATAAATATTTTTCCACAAGGAAAGGATGAGAGAAGGATGGAAAAAACAACATGTGGCAAGTGTTAGCAAGTTCACTTAATGTGTTATTGGAAGGCATTCAAATACTTGAGAAAAGTAGGCCAAGGAGAGACAAGGACAAAAGTAACAAACACAGAAATTGTGCTAGAAAGACCTTTTTCTCAATGACTAGAAAGATAGATCAGCAGGCCAGGATATTTTGAGAATGTGTCTACCTAAACAAGGATTTGTCAGTATCCAGCATTTTCTTCAGGAAATCATCAGTCTGGCTGGCTGTTAAAATGCCCTACTGCAAGAGTAGGTATAGTTTATCATGAGAGCGTCTCATTAAAAAAAACAAGGCGGAGAAGAAACTATTTGCAGCCAAATGTACTTGAGAAAACTGATCCTGCAGAGAAGCTGGCCATTCAGCAGAACAATTTGCACTTCAGTCACTTTTCAGTCTTCTGTAGCCAAAGCGCTGTCATATTCCAATCTTGCACTGTGCATTAAGGCAGAGGTGCACATTGCTTTCCTCTCCAGGGCTGGGGCTGCTATCTCCTCTCTCCTCCATTTAACCATGCCATGGGACTGCATGGCTGCGTACACAGCAGGGTTTCTGAAGTGAGCTGATTGAAGCAGAATAAATACATGTATTTTGGGGAAATTCCCTCATCCCTTTAGAAAGCTGAGGAATTTTTCCAAATTAAAACAATTGTCTTTGTTCAGGGTGGGGAAGAATTAGCTTTGAGATTTTTTTCCTGATTTCATCTCAGTTTTACCCTTTCACTCAGGTTTTGTATTTTGAAATTTCAAAACAAACTAATTTCACATTAGAACAAAAATAAGAACATTTCTTAAAATTACCTTCAATCAAAGGCTGAAACATGAAGTGAAATATTTTATTCAATCCACAACAAATACTCTGTGTCTCAGAAAAAGTCTGGAGCTAGCCGTTTAGAGGCCAATGAAATCATGCACAGTAACTTCTTTCCTATCACCCTCCCACGCTGCCTTGGTATAACATTTCCAGATATATCCTTGAGCCTGGGGGAAGTGACCAAATCATCATTAGTGGCAGCAAGGCAGGGTCCTCACTTTTTCCTTCATTCCGTACTATCAGGAGCGAGACATCTTCTTCAGAAGAATGGATTTCTGTTTCTGCTCTCTTGAAGCTACTACGTCCAAGATGATGAGCCTCTTTGTTTAACAGATGCATTTCATTTCATTTTCTGCATTAGCTTCAAAAGTCATTTAAGAACTGTATGCAAACTAAGAGGTGAGTTGCAGTCATAACATTTGTAAGGGAGAGAAGAAAAAATAAAGTATGAAAATACCTCAGCGGTATTTGTAACCTGGAAAGGGATAAGAGAACAGTCCCCATCATTTTGAATGAAAGTAGAGTGAAATACAGACCAAGGTCTGTATGCCATCTATCTCCCTCTAGAAGCCAGCGTGGTCAATGAGATAAATGATGACAGATACTGAAAAGGACATGCAGAGCTTAATTATATAAGCTGCAGAGGTCAAGTAAGTTATGGACTACCAAGAACAAATGTCAGTGTACAGACCTGTGATGTCCCTTACTAAGAAGCTAAACTACAGTGGTAGACAAAGGACATAGGAGATAGGAGTATTTTGGATGGCTTTTTATAGTTATTTTATTATTTTTCATATTAATATAGAAATAGAAAAAGATACAAATAATTCTGAGCAGCAACAAAGGACTAAGGATACTATCTAGCATCCAGATAGTGTAAGGAACAGTAGTTTAAAAACTACAAAATTCAAGCTGTCTTAAAAACATGATAGTGCAATTCTAGACAGAGGTCTTCAGCAAACTGGAACAGACAGAGATAACTTTAGAAGTAATGAATTTCCCTAATCAGTAGCAGGATGTAAGTCAGTCTACAAAGGCCATCATGGTCACAGTCTGACCCCTGAAAGAAACAATGGGATCAACACAACAGAACATTGGCTCAAAAATTGCATTAAGTGGCTTAAATATGATCTTTTTCTACAGATTCTGTTGCCATCATGCCTAGATCCTGACCTATGTTTTTATTTACTGAGGAGGTTTGTGTCATTGCAAGGACACAAAACAACATTCTTAGGGATAACAGAGAAATTCTGAATTCAGTTTCACAAAAGCAATTTATGAACCAAAAGAGAAAGTCAGGGTTTTAATCAGGATTTCTTTTTAGAAGGTGTAAGTTTTTAGTATTGTTACATGGATGTGTTAATGTATACCTTTGTCTAGAATTCGCTATAAACGGTCAAATTACCCTAGAAAAATTGATACTGAGAAAATTTTTGTTTGAAAATCAGTTTTTGTGAGAATATCAGTATAGACCTGCTTTGTTCATATATTGGAGAAAAATTACTGATTTTTTTAAAGCCATGGGAGACATACAGATCATACATACAAGGACAGTTAGCTGGGTCTCAGAGTGGTAGCTGGGTCTCTGTGCCCAGAGCCAGGGAAGTCCTTTGCTTGATTGACCTACACAAAATGTCTCAGAGAGAAGTGTCCCTAAGAGAAGAATGTGTAAATATATATAAACACAACTGCACATATATAATATGATTCACTGTGGGGGAAGAAAAGTAATAATCAAGATGGAAGACCTACATTATGTACATAAGCTTGCTGCCTGGCTTCCTTCTATTCATTTTGTAATAAATACTGTAATGGCTTCATAAAAATACTAAAGAGCTTAACTTGTGAGATTCATTTCATAGATTTACAGATGTATAATATATTTTTTTCCTATAATGAATAAAATCTTGTTACAGAAAGAAAGCATGCCATAGTTTATTTTTTGAATTTCTGGACAAACTCATAATATACAAATGCTGTCAGTGTGTTTTTAACTGCAATAGACATGAAAAACTGAGCAGACACTGACTATGTATTCAAAAAAGAAAGTATACGGCAGAAGAACATGCATCTCCAAAAGTATTATTTTTAAAAAGTGGCTTGTTCACCGCCTCAGGACTTTGCCCCTTCTCTCCACATCCTTTCAGCTGCTTGGCAGAAGGCATGAGGAGATTTTCAATGCTAACTAAACAGCAGCCTCTAGTGGAATATGAACAATATATGCTCATTTTATTAACTGCAGTTGTCCAGTGTCTGCAGCAGCTGTGCTGTTAGTCTCGTTAGGAGAAAAAAGGAATTAAATCTATTACAGCCACTTTCCTAAGTTTGCTTTCTGGAAAGACATATTAAAATCTACTGCTGAACAAGTACTCCATGATCGAAATTGTAAGAAGCACTAAAATGATTGTTACTGCTTGCTGAATTTTGCAGCTTTAAAAAGAAAATGGAGACAATGAGAATGCTTACTGACCAATTCAGATTCTTCAGTAAGAGACTCATCTAAATCAGGCGAGGCCTGAAAGTCTCATGAGTTTGCCTAAAACCAGCATTCTGTCCCTGACCAAGTAAGTCATTTCAGCATCTTACTAGCTTCACTGTTATGGATAATAACTTCTATTACTTCAGCATTCCCCACCCAATATTAGACTCATAGTGAGTCTAATATTAGATACATACTGAGAGACAGATCATGCTCCATAAAGCAAAAAGCAAAAGCAAAAACGTGGAGAAAGGGATACAAGGAAGTGAAGAAAGTGAGATGACTTGCTGAAGAATATAGCATAGGAAATCAGCTGCCAATTTGCAAACAGAATTTGTCTCATGTCTCAGATTAGTGGCCTTTATTAATGCCAAATATGTACATCCATATTCAGCAGTGTTTGAACAGATAAACAACAGGACATGTTCTTCCAGAAATCAAAGACAATATGAAACTATATTTTCTCTTTCCACACAGCTTGTCTTTGTCCAGCCAAATTCAAAGTCTGTTCTCCTGGGTATGTGTAGATCTCTGGATCCCATGTGTTTGATACTTTACTTTCTTCATTTGCCCTGTTTTGAAGTATTCAGATAAGTGAATAGTGTACATGTTGAAACAACCCAAGGTGCTGGAGTGGTTATTCAGAAGTACATCTTGGAATTAGATACTTCAGGTAACAGAGCACACTCTACAGCATACCAACACCACCAGTCTCAGCAGAAATTGTGTGGACTGACCACCTCTGGATCGAGCCCTAGAGACATGTTTTACAAACATGCTAGACTGATACTGTCATCTGTGTTAGAATAGCAACAAGCTGCGCTTGAGTCAGGAGCAGGGTTACATCATCCTGGAGATTGAACAGCCTTTCAGTAAGCACGACTTTTGTCCTTAAGACTTTAGTCAAATTGAAATCAAAGTGTGAATAACGTGTGAGACTAACACCAGAGACACAGATTGTAGAATAAGAAACAAAATAGTAGCAACCCCACAGTTTAATTGAATTACCCTAACAAGTAGACTTACATCTGTCTGGATCTAGAACCAGACCGCAAATAAAGTTTCATCCCAGCCGACAATTCTCACTTGTCATATCTCCTGAACCAGTGTGAGGAATCCTCTATTTGTTACCATCGTCTTGGAAAAAAACTTCAAAGTACCAGCACAGTTCCCAGCCACAGGGGCAAAGGGTGTGAAATGCGTGCTAGCCCCACAAAACCATACTTTAGAAGATGTCAGTGAAACTCAGTACAAACTAAAAGTGTGGCCTAACATAGGCTCTTATAAAACTACATGTCTTCAGGTGCCTGATGTCTACTTTGTCCATCACAGGTTGGCTGGTAGTAAACTTGTTCTGCTTCCTGTAGTTCTGCCAAGTCATTCCTGATGCTGCTGTAAAACATATAGATTGAAACATATATATTGACTAGTGACGTGTCAAGTAAAACATTTTTATTTAATGGTTTTCCATTTCATTTTCCAGTTTTGTTTCTATGGTAAAGGCTGAATTTACTGAACAGAACTCTGAAAATTCCTAAATACGTACAAAAAAAGCTCGAAGTTCAAATTCCTGAAGCTGAAGAGCTTCAGCCAAATTTTAGCAACAGTATTTCAGATATTTAATCTGCCCAAGGAATTATTCCAGAGCTATCTTCCTTATGGCCCTCATTTTTCCCCTGGACTGTTAAAGTTCAATAATGACCAGTTTTTAATAGTTTCTGCTCATAAGTTTTGATATATTTATTCAACACCATAAAAGAGCTGCTCATCATTCAGTTTTGTTAGTGTTTCATAGCTCTAATCTTGACCTAGTTTACGAATATTTTATTTATCAACAGCCGGCTAGTCAAACAGCCTAATCTCAGAGGAATGTGAAACATCAGCTCAGTCTAAAAGGATGCAGTTTCTGCAGGGAATAAATCCCACCTCCCACATTTTTGTTTTTGTGGGCAAATCCCTCCCTCCTACCAGGTCATTTCCTTGACAGTTTTTCTCTCTTTCCTGCATTTGTACATTTTGCCAGCTGCAGGTACTTACAATTTGTCTTTCTGTTCTCCTACAACCTACAACCTATGCACACCAATCTTGCAGCATTATTATGAAGTCTCCATTAAGGGATGACTCATTTCTCAGCTGTGATTGAAAATGCTTTGCTAGCTGGGACTTTACACTTTTCTCATCTTTCAATAAAAATAATCTAGGAAAAGAGATAATCTGTAGCATCAAGGAAAAAAAGAAGAGCAACACAAACCCTAAGAGCAAACTGAGCACACAGTCATAGTCTCAGAAACAGCCACAAGTAACGTTGTAAACTTGTTACACCAAACTTCCTGGTGCTTTATTGCACTTCTAATTTAGAGAACAACAGACAGAAATATTAAACCCGTAATGGCAACATCTGACAAGATCCTCCAGCCGAAAGATAAAGAAAAAAGAGACAAAAAAACCCGTCAAAGAGCCACAGAAAGGTTTTCTTCCATTGAGTTTCGAAGCATAACATTAAGTTTCACAGTTGCATATAGACAGAAATTAGCAATTTATGTACCCTACCCCTATCTATACCTTTACGAGAAGCTCTGAGGGGGAGATTCCCAGGAAAATCTAAAACCACTTAGCAGAAGCTGACTGCTTTCAAGCTACCCATGCTACTTTTATACAATTCCAGAGTAATGCTGCACAGTACAGGCAATGCCAGCAAAAACCAACATCAAATGAGAGCAAACACAGACTTCCACCTCAGGAGAAGTTATTTCAAGAACAAACATAACGGGCTTTAAACAAAGCAAATTGACTCAGAAAGGCTGTGAGAAGCAACATACTCTCCGTGGAGTATCCCAGCGGCCTGCCCCCGAGAGCTACAAAGCCCTGCAGACTCTGAGGATCTCAGGTTGCTGCTTAGAGACCCCCGTCAGGCTCGTCCCCAGTTGCCCTCTGCTGCTTCAGCACAGAAAAATCTCCAGAAAAGCTACTATGGCTGCTACTAATTCCTGCAAGGGAAGAGAGCCTGGCGTGAAAAGGGCATATCTGTGGGGCACGAGTGGAAAAAAGAAAAAGACCCTGGTAGCTCTAACTTCTCACTGCCCTTTTTTTGACTTTCGGCTCACCACGTACCAGAGAGACCTCAGAGCAGGTACTGCCTCCCTCTGCCTGCTACATATTTACAGATTGAATTTACTTTTTTATTTCCTCCTCATGTGCTCAAAGTCCACCTTCTGCTTAGCTTTTTGTCTGTACTGCTCCCCCAGCTGTTGTCATCACTGAAACTCATCAACATATACTTCCATCTCCCTTTGAGACTATTCATAAAGATGCAAAGAAACATAAATTCACATTTACCCCCTAAATATATTAGAGATTTGACTACTTTGTGGCATACATTTACAGCTGGACTCATACAAGAGGCTTTGAAAAAGTCAAATTCTGTGAATATCCAGTTTTTAAATACATTATATTCAGATGAGCTTATATTCTTGTTGTTTTCATTTCGTCAGGAAATGCTAACAAATGTGTTTGCTGATATTATTTATAGGATAGTAAATCTTACGTGCAACAACATAAAATTCGTTCTAATGAGCAGCAATCCATCACTGATCTGTATGTTCAGGCAAAACAAAAATAAATATCTCAGACTGCAAATACCAAATTCTTAATATGTCCGGGAGAAGTACAATTTGAAGACTAAATTATTCACAACATTTCCACTTACTTCATATAAAATAAGTGTTTTTGGCAAATCTATGACTCATTTTTGGTTAATTTTTAAATGGGAAAATGTGAAAATTTGTGAAATTTTCATACATGGGATTCTTCCTATTTATTTCAAATAGTAACCTTTCAATTTTAATCAATTTAGGATCTTGAGAGAAAGTTTCCTAATGTCTTTCCAGATTGGTTTACGCTGGTATGATTTCACTGCAGTCAGTGGAGCTACAATGATTTACCCTCAATGAAGGTCCAGCCTGCATCAAGGTGTTGAAATTGAGGAGATGCATCATGGTAGAAAGTAGTTACAGCTGGAGGGAGGCACCTGAGCTGCTGGGAGGGAGTTCCCCTGGGGCATGAGAGCTCTGGCAGGGAATTCACGCAGGTATTTCCACCACGCCCTCGGACAGCTGCTCCTCTGCACGCCTACTGAAGGTTAATGGTTTTACAGTGTATTCCAGAGGTATGGTATGGACGTGATAGAGCAGAAATCCACACACCCACTCTCCCACTCTCCCTCTCTCCCTCTCTCTTTTTTTTGGGGGGAGTGGAAATCTGTTCCCCCTTGTTTTAGCTTAATCAAGTGTGAGCATCTGAGGATTGTAGAACTGGAATCTGGATTTCTTTGCTCTCCATCTCTTCAGCAAACACAGCAAGGTCTTGAACTTTGCTTGCTACTGTAATATATACAGCATATGCTAACATGTAATTTCATCTTATCAGGCACTTATCCAGTGAAGGAACTTTTATCTTCATACAAACCTTTTTAGAAAATCTTTGCTATCTCCGCCAATTAATGGAATTAGAAAGAAAAAAGCAGAAAACAAAAGCAAATAGAGAAAGGAAGAAATGAAATCCAGGAAGAAAATAAAAGAGGAAAAGGAGACAATTAATAAACATAATTAAGTAGGACTTGAAGATGTTAATGAATATAGTGGCACAGTGGTCAGGAGTGAAAGATATAGCATTCTATGGAGAATGTCAGCTTTTATGATTAAAGTCTCCTAGAAAAGTATTTGTCATTAGATGTCTGCCCTTGCTCCCACCTTACATCATTTTTTCTTATCCTAATAGCCCTCAACCATCCTGCCATTCAGTTTGCTGTGAGTTTTTTCCCCGTTCTTTTCAGTTCTGCCCCCTCCCAGCCATATCTCCGCTTGTGGTACCCTGCCTATGGCCCAACGGCAGGAGCAGGCTGGCCACTTTGCTACTCACAGGTGGTAAGAAGGAGAGCAAGAGGGCTACTCTAACACTCTCCCCACTTTCCCACCTTTGTAAAAACAGACCTCTAACGGAGGAGCAACGAATTTTGTCTGCTCTCGCAGTTGCCTGCGTTGGCTGCACCTTTTGAAGAGGCAAACACGTGGGCAAAGCCATCAGGTAAAGAACATTTCCCATCACACGTGATACTGGAAAATTACGTGCATCCTTTAAATCTATATCCAGCAGCCACTGCAGCCTATCACACAAGCTCTGTGCCTGCCTTGGAATTCATGATTAATAATAATGATTTCTCCTTAAGGAGTGTCTAGAGATTGAAACCTCTTTGTACTATACAGAGAAGTGTTCCCCACCCCACCAATCTAAACACACAAAATAATAAGGGCACAGAGAGGCACTGACAGCTGGGGTGATTTGCTCCAAGTCCCAGCACAGGTCAACAGCAGTGGCAAAAGCAGAATTTAGTTCTCCTGCAGTCCCATATCTATTTACGGAGGTTGTCCCTCAATAAAATAAATGATTTACAACTCTGCATATTGCTAAGCCATTACAGCTTTGGGCTTTTACTCTGAATCATAAAAGCACCTCTGAGAATTGAATCGATTCCATTAAATGACATATCATAGGATGTTTTCTGTGCCAGCTCTCTCTTCTCCCCCACACTCAGCCCCACACCTCTGCAAACGACTCATTGATTTCCAACATAAGGGAGGGGAAAAGAATGAGAACAGAATAGTAATATCACATATTTATACCCTGATTACTAATGCAGACCTTAGATTTATCTTTTGCATGGTGTTTGGCTTCTAGCAAAGTTAGTGAGTGTGTTGATGTGGGGGGAAATCAGATTAACTGCACGGATCAATGGGTCATACACAGAAACACTTTTGCATGCAGCCTAAATAAAGATCTGTTACAGCATACCATATAATCCATGTTCAGAGAGATGAAACTCTCTCTCTCAAAAAAAGCTAGTATTTGAACCAAAATCTCAGTATGAATAAATCTCAATAGCTTCTGCTTGAACTGACAGCAAAGATCTAGTGAATTTCCTGGAAAAATGACAGTCTACTACTCTGGAGTTGCCAGAACATGAGGATGTTTCCTGTATTGACTGATGCCATAAAATACTCACCCCAAACCAACCCAAGGGTACTCCTTCCAAGAACACAATGCTTATGACTTCAGTGGAAATGAGAGATAAGGAGAAGATCCTTCAGGCAGCCTGGAAAGAGAGAAGCATTAAATTCCAAGGGCAAACGATAACAATTTCTCCAGACTTAAACCAAAAGATTCAAGAAAGAAAGAAAGAATTGGTAGAACTTTAAAAAGCCTTTGTAGATTTTAAACTGAAGCCTGGCAACTGGGAGTTCTCCATGAAAATAAAGATTACCTATTGTGGGATGCAGATTCAGTGAAACAGTTTTTAACAGATATCAGCTGTGTTATGTTCCCAGGCCCTTCACATGGATTAATTTCTTGTGTTTTGCTAGCAGAACCCAGGTAATGAGTCCCAGCAAGGTAAGTTGTGTACAGAGGGAGCTCATGGGAGATCTAAGCACTATACCAGCTCTACTCCGTCATGGGGACTGAGACTGATGGTACAGCTGCCAAAGCAGAGTGTGTGGTAAAAGTGCTGATTTAAGACAGTTTTCAAGCAACGTCCACCACAGTGGCTAAGAGGAGCACAGTTCAGAGCTGCTTCCCTTGCTGTCTCCCTTGGAAGAGCCGAGGTGGCATTGCCACAGCCTCTTCTTGGAAACAAGTACCAAATATTTTGGAAAATGAAGAAAAGTAGCCTCCCTTCTGGGCAGCCTCTCAGGAATTCCTGATACAGAGGAGAGAGTCAGAGCCATGGAAGGTTACTACTGCCACTATTTCACAATGATGTTCAGATTCTTCTAAGAAGGCTCTGGTCAGTCTTCTATTTCATTTCTTGGCTTTGTCAGTGTCTTCTGTCTCTGTCTTTTGAATAAACAATGTCTGGTTTAAATATAGCTATAGTTCAACTTCTGACTATTCATAGCAGTAGATAAGTAAAGCTTCCCTTGGGGAACAAAGAGCACACAGGGAGAGCTGACCAGTCAAAAGCTGAGACCGCAGCTTTTGTGGCTAAGCCCCAGATAGTTTTAAATTGGCACCATGGATGGCAGGGCAGGCTTGTTCTCTGGTTTTGTCCTGAGTTCAGGATAGATTTTGTTTCCATTTGTCTATACTTGTGCTTGTACTATGTTGGTCTTGTGTGGTAGCACACCACCTAAGGACAACGTAAATATATCCTTGATGATGTCAAGTTACCAGACAATGACTGGTTGGAGGAGACTGAGCAAAAGATTACAGGCTTCCTAAAAGTACCGCAGTTTTTTTATCTGCATGGCCAGCCCAAGTAAAGTTCATGAAACCCTTATCAGATACTGCTAGCATGCCCAAGAAAGAGAGCACCCAAAGAGCTATGAGGTAGCAATGCGTTACCCTGAATGGGAGGTAGTCACTAAATCCGTATATACTTTGAAAAGTAGACCACACCACTCTTGAGATGTAATTATTTAAAAGAAGAATGAAATTTCAGCAGAAAACAAACATCATTACTGCCAACAATGCTGTCATGAAAACCCTCCAAGTATGCTTCACATGAAAGTTTAAGCTAGGCAGCCTGCTTGATGGTCAAATACTGAGAATACTGGTGAATCAATTTGTAACTGTAAATCTTGTCAGTTTTTACAGCTTATTCTTCACCAGCAAATCCCTGGCCATCATGCCAAAAGCCATGAGATCATATTGCTTCTGCCAACCCTTTCTTGAATAAAACCTTTACAAATGAGAACCACACAATTTAAATGTCCAGAGTTAGTCTGTGTCTTTCAAAATACAATCTCTGCCACTGTATGGATCCCTTCATTTCTGTGACTTTTGGTTTTCCTAAAGAATTAATGCTTGATATAATAGGGCCTAGTTTACACCTCAAGAACTGAAGAAATTTTTGCACATTGTTAAAAATTGACATGTTTTATCTGTACCCTGCCATCAGAGTACTAATGGGAATCCAAATGTTTTCAGAACTTTTTAAACTGCCACACAAACTGTCAAGAGAGATACAATATCTTTAAATCAGAAAATAGCTTCTTTCCTGCTATCTTATCAAACAGCACCACATAGTTCTACAAAATGTATCCCTGCCGAACTACTAATGGGAAGATGTTTACATATTAGACTGGAAGCTATGAGACCTGATTTGGATAATCATACAAAATGAGAGAAGGGAGGTGTGGTGCAGATGAAATTCCAGGACTGGTCTTTCAGGAAAGAAATTTGAATATAAGGACCTACTAAAAGCATCAGGAGCAAAGATAACAAGGCCTTATTATGAAGAGTGGAATAGATGCAGTGACCAGTGAGAAGGTGATTATTTCGTTGGTGCACAGGAAATTACGAGAAATCTGTTAATACTCATTTTATTTGTTAATTTGCCATTTTCTCATAGAATCACAGAATCGTTTAGGTTGGAAGGGACCTCTGGAGATCATCTAGTCCAACCTCCCTGCTCCAGCAGGGTCACCTAGAGCATATTGCCCAGGATCACATCCAGACGGGTTTTGAATATCTCCAGCGAAGGAGACTCCACCACCTCTCTGGGCAACCTGTTCCAATGCTCTGTCACCCTCACAGTGAAGAAGTTTTTTCTCAGGTTTAGGTGGAACTTGCTGTGGTTCAGTTTCTGCCCGTTGCCCCTTGTCCTGTTGCTGGGCACCACGGAGAAGAGGCTGGCCTCATCCTCTTGACACTCCCCCTTCAGATACTTGTACACGTTGATGAGATCCCCTCTCAGTCTTCTCTTCTCCAGGCT